TGTCAAATTAATTTAATGATACTTGAGATTAAGTAATACGAGCTATAGATAGAAGAGATTCGTTCAATAATTATTAATTCAACTTGAGTTTTTATTGGTAAATCTTAATTGGGGAACAAAATATTTAAAAATTTATATCAATTTAGGTAATTATATTTTTCAATCATTGTCATCTATTACGTTATTTTCAACTATAACTCATAATGTGTCAACAATAACGTGAATTTTGTTTCCATTAAGCATCAATTGAATGTGATATTTGTGATAATGAGAATAACAATTGCTTGGATTCGTTTTGCACGCATTTTTTCTATAGTGACATCTTTGTTTGAAAATTCTTTTCTTTTTTCAGAGAGAAAGAAAATAAGGTTGAAATTCATCCTCAATTTCTCTTTCATTTTAAATTTTAATTTAAGTAAATATAAAGAAAAATAAAATAGTACAATTAAAATATTAAATTATATTTTTTACGTAAATTAAAATTTTCTCATAAATAATCATACAAATTTAAATATTTTCATCTCCTTTATTTATTTTAATATTTAAATAAAATAAATAAAAATATTAACGATTTATTTCTTTTTTGTTGCTCCCATTGTTTGTTCTATTTTCGAGTAAAATTAATTTTAATGTTAAAAATTTTAAGAGTTATTTAAAATCAACATTCCTCTAAAAAATATCGTGAAAGGTTGTTGTTGTTTCCAAAGAATCTTTTGTTTCATTTTCAATATAAGTATAGTACCTATGATTTCTTTAAATATTATACTTATAATGTATACATATAAATTATTTATAAGGTAAGGCTATATACCAAAGATATATTTAATATTTGTATCAAAATGTTTTTCAAATATATATTTTTGGTATTTTTATAAAATTTATTTGATTTTAAAATATTGTAAATATAAAATAACATTAAAATAAAATAAAATAAATATTTTTATTTATTGTACGAATAGTAAAAAAGAATATAGGTACAGTTTAATATATTATAATTTGATTATTTTATATATTTAATGCATATAATTTTTAAATATGAATTTAATATTTTTAATTTTTATACATTTATTATTTTAATCGAATACTGTTAGTTTTTAAATGATGTTTGAACATATCTGCCATTGAAAAAAAAAATCATATGTACAAGTTTAAAACAAAAATAATTAAAATTTTAAATATTCAAAATCTTAGAAGCAAAATAACAAAAAATAAATTAGAAGTGAAAAAATCAAAACACAAAATAGATAAAAAATTTATTCATTAACAAAAATGAATCATAATGAACTCAAAGATTTTAAATCATATTCCATGTCGGACATAAAATTTAATTCAATTTAATATATATAGTAATAAAAGAATCTAATAAAATATACTTATATCTTAAAAATATTTTAATTTAGATTATATGATGTGAATAATTAATTTTAAAATATAAATATTATATTTATTTTTCTACAATAAAATTTAGCAAAAGATTTCTTTAAACAAATCGATTAATAAAAGAAATCACAAATACTAAACTTTGAAAGAAATAAGAAAATAATACAATTACATATAATTCTAGATAGCAATGAAATTAAAAATAAGGAAACCAAAAACTTGGATAAACATGAAAGCAAAAATCTCACATTTATGGCGGATTTAACCTAATTTACTTAGAAAAAACCCTAATTTAGGAGCATCATAAAAGAAAAATTAGATTTTTCCAAAACAACTTACCCGCCACACTCACCAACGTGGAAATTCTATCCCAATTCCCACAAACACCTTCTACATGGAAAATATTACTTACCAAATAAATTCGAGTGAGATTACCAGAAGGCCCCGAATATTCCGTATTGGGTTCGGTCCATACTCATCTCCCACGAGATTAGAGACCTTAAAGCCTGGTTTCAATTCATAACAGAAGAAGAGAAGAGGAGGGAGGGTGCTTTGGTACTTCGCAACTGTAAGTAATAGTTTTGTTTGTATTAGTCACCATTGAAACGCGTCTTATTGTACACATGCGTGATCAATAAGCCATTTTCTTCACCTTCACTCATCACACACAACACACACTACTCCTTGTTCATTACATACCCACAAACCCTAGATCTCTCTCTCTTAACCCTTTTATTCAACCTCCCCATCTTCACGTCGCGCCCACATATTACTGTACTCTTCTTTAGAAGACGACCCACTTTCAGATCTGAACATTTTTATAGCTATCTAATAATTTAACGAATTCTTCCCATTTGCTTAATCCTCTGATTTTTTTTTTTGTATGTCTTGGCTTTTTCTCAGCTTCATTAACCAGAATTTTGTTCGTTTATTTTACTTTACTGGTGTGTTGTGCTTCTGTTGAATCAATTTTGAGCTTTAGTTCTGTTGACATTTCAGTTCAGTTTCTTGGTGTGGCGGTATTTACTGTTGGATTTATTTGAATGGTGTCTTATGCAGGTTGATTGTTTGTGTTCTTGTTTGGTGATCGGGTTTAGTGGGATTTGAGTTTTCGGGCCGTGGTGGGTTTATCTAGATCTGAGAGATTTTGTTGGGAGCTATGAATTATATGTGGTAGTGGGTTGACGAGTTCCTGATTGTTGCGTCTTCTCTATGGCAATGCCATCGGGAAATGTGGTTCTGTCAGACAAAATGCAGTTTCCTGGCGCCGGTGGTGGCGGTGAGATCCACCAGCACCACCCTCGTCAGTGGTTCGCGGACGAGCGCGATGGGTTTATCTCATGGCTGCGCGGGGAATTTGCTGCCGCCAACGCAATCATCGACTCGCTCTGCCAACACCTGCGCGCGGTCGGCGACCCCGGTGAGTATGACATGGTTGTGGCGGCCATTCAACAGAGAAGGGTTAATTGGACCCCCGTGCTTCACTTGCAGCAGTACTTCTCTGTGGCGGAGGTGATGTACACCTTGCAGCAGGTTGCCTGGAGGAGGCAACAGAGGCCTTCTGATCAGTCAAAAATGGTGGGAAAGGAGTTTAGGCGATCTGGGTTGGGGTTTAAGCAAGGACAGAGGAGTGAAGCAGTTAAGGAAATGCATAATTCAGTTGCAGAGACTCATGGCCATGATGGGAATTCGACGGGTCTGGAACATGGGGGAGAGAAGTGTGAAGGAGTTAAATTGGTTGACAATGTTAGTAAGATTGAGGATAAAGGTCTTGCTGTTACAGATGATAAGAAAGGTAACCCTTGAACTTGGATATTGTGTGAGTTTGTTCAATGTGCTATCTTTATCACACATAGTAGTATATGCCAAACTCGTGGGTGGAGCAGCAATTATTTTTGCGGCTTGTTACGATAACAATCTTTCTAGTTTAATTAATTGATGAAGTAAAATTTATGCTCTAGAAAGTCTGATGCTGATGCTGTTGTTTGGGAAGCTAGTTTGTAAGTTATTATGTTTCCTTATTGCGTATTTCTTTGACCTGCATGCATGTGATAGTAGAAAAGCAATTATTTTCCTTCTAACTTAATATGAGGCTGATAAAGAAAGTTGCATTATTGCTGCCATCTTGTTTAGATGAATCTTTCTATTTGGAATAATCTTATTTGTCCTGTTTCAAGGATATTCGTGCCTAACATATCGAAGTTCGCCCTGGTCATAAACAAATATTTTTGTGCAATCACAAAAACACATTCTTCCTTATGTTACAAGTGAATTGTAGATGAATTATGAAGTCCTTTAGTCTGCCAAATGACACTATCACACACATATGCTTATCTTCAATTTTATGACACTTTTTCTTCTAAAAACAGTTCATGACACTTTTTTTTCGTGCAGAAGGTTGGAGACGATTGTTGAATCTTTCTTCTTTATTCTCACAGAGGATAATGAATTTCATTCTTTCCCAAGATATAGGACTGATTCTGCCTAGTTGCATTGTACTCGTACATGAAGATTTTGTTTATGCATTTTCTAATTTTCTTTTCTTTCTACTTGCCAAGTTCTTGAAAGTACTGCATCTAAATTTGAATTTTTCCTTATATGTACCACACAGAAAGATAAGAATTTTTGTCAGAAATCTAGTAAGATATACTCGATTGAAAAATCCTACTGTGATTAGAATTCACGTGAAAGGAATTTTTATTCATTTTTTTGGGTTATGGAGCAGATGTTATTGCAAAACCTTCTCCTGATGGGAGTTTGAAAAATTCAGAAGGGTCTGCAGTTGGTAATTCAGAATGCAATGAAGCAGTGAACCAGGGCTGCATCTCCAGCTTGAAAGGTATGCCATCTTTTTTACCTTTTCATATAGCCTTTTTTCAGGTGTAGGGCAGGTGAGGGATTAGATTGGTTTAGGAAGTTGTGTGAATGTCCTATAGAGGATAGGTTGTTGGATACATCCTTTTAAACGTGAAAGCGAATGGCTTATTTTTCAGATACTCTTTCCATTCCTTTTGGGGAAATGTACTCCATAAAGTTTTAGAGTCAACATGGATTATCATGATCTAATTGGCCATTACCATTTTATATTGAAAAGAAATAAAATCCCCTTTCCGTTTCTTAATGTATAATCTTTTGGTAAGGTATATTTAGTTTAAAGCTTATTTAGTTCATCTTATGTTTTGATAATTTATTTTTCTCCTACGATGTTTTGCCAGAGAATGACTTAAGCTCTGTTCCAAAAATGAATGAGAAGCAGACTCTCAACAGTATTCCTAAGACTTTTGTTATCAACGAGATATTCGATGGAAAGATGGTAGCATCCTTGTTCACTTCTTTGAGGTTTTTTTCTAATAAGAAAATTTGTTTTGGTTTGATAGCTACATCCTGATGAAGTACCTCAGTTCATGTTCCTCTTATTCCAAAAGTTCCTCTTTTTTCTCAGGTTAATGTCGTTGACGGATTGAAATTGTACGAAAAACTGTGTGACAGCAATGAAGTTTCAAATCTGGTTTCACTGGTCAATGATTTAAGAGCTGCGGGAAAGAGAGGACAATTTCAAGGCAAGTTTGCTCAAACTTTCTTTCCTTAAATCTTAAAGAACAGCGTTTATTTAAATCTGAAGGAAAAACCTTTCTCCTCCTCTTTCACTTTTTTCCTTTGGTTAACTTCTCTACAGGTCATCGGGGTGTTCATTGGTTCCTGTGGTTTGTTTATTACTGGATGAATAATCTAATGAAATAATGAACAGCATTATTCTTTGATAATGAAAATGTGGTTTATGCAGCATTATTTCCAATCAAATATTTTAAAAGCTTAAGTCATCCAAACTCTATTGAGTCAAATTCTTAAAACTTGATCTGCTGTTGGAACTATATGAATTTGGAGACTAACTGCTAGTACAAAGTATCTGGTAATATATCTGTGTCCTGATATTTTTCACTCATGGAGGACTGTTTTTTTTTTTTATCTTGTTAGTTCTTGGCACCTCCTGGGTTGAATAGGCAGCTATATCATATATTGCAGGCAGTGGTTTTAAGGGCTCAACATGTTGGGTTTACATGCTTAGAGATCACTGGCATCAGGCCTTGTGTGTCTTTTCAAGGGTCATCCTCTCTGTGGGGAGATGACATAGGGAACTTTTAGATATTTTGAACTGACTTTCTTTTGTATGTTTCTTTTATTCATGGTTTCAATCCTTTGGTGCTTTTCAGTGACCTTTTTTCCTGTTCAGCAACAAAATATTTCGGTATTATAACCCATGCAAAATATTGCTCTTGCTGGGTTATTAGAAGTTTATGTTGTTCTGATGATTAGCAGGTTATTATTTCATCAACTATATACTGATTACTTTTTCAAAAATAATGCCTTAAAGATGCACTAAGTTTTGGCCGGTCGCTTTAGGTACATTCTTAGTGTAATCTGGAAAATCTGGTTCTTCTAAAGCATGGCCAAGTTAAAGTGGTGTAGCATCTGAGTTTGAGAGCTTCTCTCTTGATAACCAGAGAAACTAATGACTTTCTATTGACTCAGACCTGAAGTAAGATTTCTGGGAAACATAATCTGACTTATTATGTTGGAGGGTGGAGTTCTAGTGATGAAGTGATTTAATTAATAAATGATCATATGATTGTATATGGGCCAAGTTCCTTTGTTGTTAAATACAATTCTATAGGATAGACCTTGGGTTCTGGTCTATGGTGATGTGAAAGAGGCTTGGATGATACTTTGTTTTTTCTTCTTGGATGAGACAATTCTATATGATAGACCTTAATCAATAAGGACAGACCTTAGCTTTTCTCTCAATAACTAGAGAAACAATGATTTTCTATCAACTCAGATCTGAAGTAAGATTACTGGGAAACATAATCTGACTTATTATGTTGGAGGGTGGAGTTCTAGCGATGAAGTGATTTAATTAATAAATGATCATATGATTGTATATGGTCCAAGTTCCTTTGTTGTTAAATACAATTCTATAGGATAGACCTTAGGTTCTGGTCTATGGTGATGCAAAAGAGGTTTGGATGATACTTTTTTTTCTTCTTGATGAGAAAAAGACTAGATCAGGTATTAATCCGTTGTGACTACCCAAATTAAGGGAATTTAGCTGACACAAAATATTCCTTTTTTCAAAATTGTAATACCTTGCTGTGAGGAAGCCAACTTAATCACCAGATCCATGTCAATATACTAGTAAACTAAGTCCTAGGCTTGCTGGATCAAGCGAGGCCTAGATGATACTTAACCATGCTTTTTGGTACAGAGTGGTGTAAGTGATGCCATGAGAAAATTGCTTATAATAAGTTGGATATCAACAATTTATTTCTTTTCAGTATATTATTTATGTTATTTTACAGCAACGTAACCAGAGGTTTAGGTGATGAATGGTGCCTTTCTTCACGACTGATCCTGATTGTTAAGTTTAATGTGAGTCAATTCTTTTTTTTTGGAGATAAAAGTAAAGACAATATATTAAAGAGATGCCAAGGGGGCGAACCCGTGTACAATGTGAGTCACTTTTTAATTGACTTAAGTTGATGATATTCCAATGAGGTTAAATTTCTGGGGTAGGTCTTTTTCCATTGTCGCTGTTTGGCGTAATAAAGTGTAAGTAACCTTGATTCGATTCATATGTGATATACTAGTAAATAAGGAGAGTGCGTTTTTTTTTCCTCTCTCTGTTGTATTATTTACTAACATAAGGAAGATATTTTAGCCAGTCTAAGTCAGTGGGACTGCGATTCTCCAATAAGAATGGATATTCTATTAGCACACAGTCTATGGCTATTGGATGCAACATGTCTACTACATCTCTTTGACCCTATGATTACTATTAACTGAAAAATAGATTTCTTAATAAAAATTCTTGAGCTTTTGTGAAGGAAAAAGCTCCTCCTTCAAAGCTCTTAAGTTTATTTCTCTCCACACTGTCTGGAAATTAGAAGGGGGAATGAGGGTTTAATCGTTCTTGTAATTGTGTGTTTAATTGTAGTTTTACCATCCTCGCATTTATGTTGATTGCTCCAGCTTTCACTAATTTTCCTGGCCCTCCACGTAGTAGGGAGGAAAAAAACAGGTGTTGTAGTGTATTTAAAAAAAAAGGTCGTTGTAGTGTACTTATGCTGGTAAAACTTACAAATTCTCAAGGTTGAAGAACGCAATCCTGAAAAAAAAAATCTTGAGCATACTGCCACCTGCATCTGTGTAAAATATATGTTATGGAAGCTGTTTTCATTCTATAGCTTTCTTAATGACTAGCTGTATAGAGTGGCTTCCAAATCTTGTTCTTGATAAAATTTAACTGCTCTTTCTCTTATAAGCCAAAAGCTCCCATACTACACAGTACCACCATCGCCACTACTAATTTTTTTAATATATATTTGGATTTCTGAGAGAATTTTTTTAGCAATACTCTTTCTGTAAGAAAAACTTTTCCTTTCTTATAGAAAAGTTTTATAACAGCCTTAACTTCAATGAAGGAAATGTCTACACTCCTATCCATAAGCAATTAGTTTTTTTTTCTTTAATTTTTTAAAAATTAATTAGTCTCTATTTTAAAAAAATTAGATTTTTTTCTGGAAAATGCTGATAGAACTTGTGGACTACCATCTCTGTCTCTTTGGTTGAGAAAATAGAAATTGGAATGAATGGCTTTTCTGTTGATTGCACCCTATTTCTCGTTTAAAATTAGTTGTCACTTTATGTGAATTTTAATGATATTTTGCTGTGGGGTTACTGCTACATGTTCATGAAAATGAAAAGTTATCCTCTTAAAAGACTTCAAAAGACTCTGTTTGCTAATATTGCAGTTAGTAAAATATTGCGTTCCTTGCTTTGCTTCTAAAAATCAATTTCTTTAGCTCGTGCATATAAACACCATTCAGCATTTTGGTATTCTGACTGCTTTATCTATTGCACACAGCTTTAGTAACTTATCAATTACTACCTCCTTATTTATGATGTACTATGAAAATTAATCTGGGTGACTTTAGTAATTTCCAAAAACATGCTTCATAAGCAGGTCAGACATATGTGGTTTTAAAGAGGCCAATGAAAGGACATGGAAGAGAGATGATTCAATTAGGTTTTCCAACAGCAGAAGTACCTCTGGACGATGAAAATGCCGCAGGGACTTCCAAAGGCATGTTCTCTAATGTGAATAACTTCTTTTTATGTGTATGGCAGATTTTTTTTTTTACTTTTCAGTAACTAATATTATTATGTTTTTGCAGATCGAAAGATGGAACCTATTCCTCCCTTGTTGCAAGATGTTATTGAACGTTTGGTTAGCATGCAAATTACAAACGTGAAGCCAGACTCTTGCATGATTGATTTCTATAATGAGGTTGCTATGATCGTTACAGTGTTCATAATTTCCAATAAAAATTGCAAGCATTAATGGGCTTATGTTTCTTTTGGTTATCTGTAGGGGGATCACTCACAGCCTCACATGTGCCCTCCTTGGCTTGGAAGGCCTGTTTGCATCTTTTTTTTGTCAGACTGTGATATGACTTTTGGGAGACTGATTGGAAGTGATCATCCTGGTGATTATAAAGGCTCTCTCAAGCTTTCTCTTCCACCAGGGTACTACTCTTTTTCTCTCAGTAAAGGAAATTTGATAAGATTTGAACATAGGTCCTGGAAGCCAAACATAAGAATAGTTGTTTGGGATTAATAGGCTTGTGATTATTGTGCATGATTGTTATCTAGATCTATATATGCATCGATTTCAAACTGCTTAAGTTCAGGCCTTTTTAGACTTCACATTCAGGTCTTGGCCACATATTTTCATGAGGCCCCCTGACTATATATAGAGATCCTATCATGGTAATTTAACATCTTAAGTAGATTAGGCTGCTTCATTAGTGATATGCAATTTCAAAAGGATCTTGATTAGCATCTACTTTTCCAGGCTAGTACATTTTGGTTTTCTTTTTCCTTGTTTAATTTTTAATACTTTGAATGCAGATCGCTCCTTGTCGTGCAAGGAAAATCTGCAGACTTTGCCAAACATGCGATTAACTCTATCCGGAAGCAAAGGATACTTGTGACTTTCACCAAGTCTCAACCCAGAAAAACAGCAGGTGAGGCGCAGCGGCTTGCATCACCTGCAATAGCCCCATTGTCTCATTGGGGTACTCCACCCAGCAGGTCGGCCAATCAAATTCGTCACCCTGCAGGCCCCAAGCATTATGTACCTATTCCAACAACTGGGGTTTTACCAGCCCCATCAATTCGGCCACAGATACCACCGCCAAATGGTGTCCAGCCCCTGTTTGTGACAGCTCCTGTTGCACCAGCAATGCCTTTTCCGGCAGCAGTTCCTATTCCTCCTGGTTCAACCAGCTGGCCAGCACCTCCTCCTAGGCACCATGCTCCTCGCCTTCCTGTTCCGGGCACTGGAGTTTTCCTTCCTCCACAAGGCTCTGGTAATGCATCCTCGCCTCAACAGTTGATGACTGGTAGTGGAGAAACGAACATGAATACAGACACAGTGCCTCTTCCGGAAAAGGAAAATGGGTCTGGTAAACCTGGTCATGCCAATGGTGTTTCTCCAAAAGGTAAGTCAGATGGGAAGGGTTCGAGGCAAGACTGTAACGGAAAAATAGATGGAACACACAGTGTGAGAGTTGGAATTAAGGAAGAACAACAGCCGAGTGTCGAGAGTATGACAGCAAGCAAACCGGCTAGTGCAGTTTAGACACAGAAAGAGAGAGAGAGAGAGAGAGAGAGAGAGAGAGAGAGGACAAAGTTATCACAGGAGAAAAGAGGTAGTAGGCTGCAGATGTGAGTGAGTTGAAAAGAAATGTAAAGAGCGGCGAATGTTAAAAGTGTTTTGACATTTGATACACTACTGGTTCTGGGGGAACGAAGGGGAGGGGGATTATCTTTGCAAACCCTTTGTGTTCTCTGCTTCCTTTTTTTTTGTTCTTTACTTTTTTTTGTTGTCTCATTATATGAACTCTTACCTTAGTCTCAAATACTCAACATTCTTAATTTAACATTACCCTTTTCTTCTTCTCTGCTTTCCAACTTGTTTCTAACCCACTAAAAACTTACTACTGGCTTTTGCTTTTCCATCCAAACGATTCAACTCTCTTTTTCCCTGTCAAATTGATTGATTTATTTATTGAGAATCCATGTTATTAGCGCATGAAATTGAATATTAGAATCTTGAGTAATTAACCAACAGCAGGTTAAGCTTTTGGTCCTGATGTTTATAACCATAGAATTGCTGCAGTCAAATATAGGGAGCTCATCTTTGTATTTATATCCATGTTAAATTTTTATCCTAATCTTCCTCTATTTAATAAAAAAAGGAAAAAAAGAGAAAAATGATTACTTGATTATGAAATATAGTTTATCTTTTTTTATAGTGACTAAAATTGTTTTAATAAAAGATATATTATAAAGTATTAATGATTAAAATTATTTAAACTACTAATATTCTTTAAGTGTTTGTTTTTTCTAATAATTTATTAGTGTTTGTTTATCTTAATTATTTGATTTTAAATAGAAGTTAATTAATTGATAAAATTATTAATGATAAAAGTAATATTAAAATATGCAAAAAATAAACTATAAAATTAATAAATATATTCATTATTAGAAGTTGATTAATTTCAGACTAATTTTTGGTTACAGAATCTTACACCAAATTAATTGAATTAGTTTTA